GTGAGCCCTCTTGCCTCAACCCAAGATGAAAGCAAAACATCTGAGCAGGACACACTTTATGGAGTAAAAATAAAAATCCATTTTTTGACCGCTTCTATTTTTACCAACACCGCCGCTAACCACGGGCTGCGAGACCCACAGCACCACTAACCCCAGCCACTTTGCAATTAGGACATTCATTTAAAGAGGGTCAATAACATACAACTGGTCTCTACTGCCCTGAAAGGGTCAGGTCTGAACCATGCTGGGGGCCAAGCTTGTGCTGGGGACACACACCCATTTCCCACGCCCGGATGCCAGGGAGCCCTTGCCTACGCTGCAAGGTGCTACTGCCTCCTCCCCAAGCATATTGGCAGGAGTCGAGCTAAGGAAACAGCACAGAAACGCTGCAGCTTTCAGCAGGAGGCACCTCCAACCCCATACAAGAGAAGGGAATCAGCATAGCAAATTAAGAGAGAAATTTCTTCTCTGCAAAAAAGCTGTGGGAGCAAAAACACGTCCACGTGCCCAGTCTGGAATCTCCTGTGGGGAACCAGCCCTGACAAAGAGACTTTGCACACCTGAGATGGAGGACAAGCAAACCCTTCCTGAGGGTTTAATTTCCCTTGGAGGGGTCTGCAGCAGAGCACGGGAGTTCTCTGAAGGGCTTTGTGGGGTCAACTATGGTGAAATCACTGTTCCACCTGCTTGGTGCTGTAGGTGGGACAGGTGGGGGCACCTGGTAAAAACCCCTTCATGGAACACAGGGCTGCTCCCCACACACCCTGACTCCACATGGATCAGAGGCACCGATTCCCTCCCGAGTCCTGTGGATCCTCCCAAATACCACAGTAGATCCCCCCAGGGCTCTGGGTTTATCCCTGCAATGCTTAAGCCACCTTGGGGTGGCACAGACCCCCGACCCCTGAGTCAGGGCAGCGACTCTGCCCTAGCAGGGATAGCGACGGGGACCCTCACCTTCACCGTCCCCGCTGTGGTCAGAGCAGGGATCGACAGCCTGCCTGGTCTGAGGGGCTCAGGGAGAGGCTGTTGGGAGGGGGTTGCCTGCCCCTCCTGCAAAGTGACAGACTCTCGCTGCTGGGGCTGTCGCAAATTCCCCACAGCACCCGACTGCTGGATACGGACAGGCGCAGCCAGGAGGCAGCTCATCCCGCCACGGGCACGGTGCCTCGGGTACTTACCTATGCACTGCTTCCCGGGGATCCCTGCCTGCCGCCTGGCTCCACCACAGATGCCTTTTTAAGCACATGAAAACCGAGCATCGCTACACCTCCGCCTCCCCGGCAGCTTTGTCCTCTCCATCGCGTCTCGGGGCTCCGAGCCGGCTGCTCCGCGTCCACGAGCAGGAGGAGGGGACCAGCACGTCACCGGCGTGTTCTCTCAGGCACTGTGACGGATGCGGGAGCAGCCAACCCTCTGGCCAGGGTGTGCCAGGGAAGCGGCGCCCGGCTAAGGGGAGCTGCCGCAGGCACTGCCGGGGCACACGGGCACACACTCCCGGAGTCCCGGGATCCGGGCTGGCATCTCCCCTCCCTGCCGGGTGGGCGAGAAGGGCCGGCGAAAGCTCATTCCCTCCTGCACTCACAGGAGCTCCAGAATCAGAAAGCAAAAAACAAAACAAAACAAAACAAAAAACAACCCAACACACGGTTTGGGGTGGTTTTTCTTCCCCCCTTTCCCCCCCCCAAATCCTGCGATTTTAAGCAGTGTCGTGATCCTGTAGGATAATGAGGCTGCCTCGAGCCATAAGAAACAAGCAGTCCCACTGCTGCCGGCTGGTTTGTAAGCCAGGATTAAACAGCACTGGGCACCCAGAGGATAAACCCCGAATCCAAGGGGGCCACGTCAATACAGAGCTCATCTGGAAAGTGCAGACATGCTGCCAGGACCTCACTCCGTCTGTAAGAGGAGGCAGGAGATTTGAAGCTGTGGTATTAGCTCTGCCCAGCCTTAAATAATTTCACCTATACTGTAGGAATCGTGACTTTACAACCCAGTTTTGTCCTTTAAAGCTTCCAGTGTGAAGTGATGCTCCAAATCCATTTAGACACCTCATCCAGTGTCTGACCATGAATACAAAATAGCCACTGGGAACCAATTCTGGCAGCAGATGACTTAATATTTAACACCCCTGATAATTCCCCCTTTAAAACATTATCTTTCTTTGTTCTTCAGCCTGTGTTAATTAGGAAGATGAAGTTTAATAAGCTGTTTTTTCACTTTAACTGTGCATACCTCTTCTGGTGCTGACATCTCATGACTAAACCATGACCAGAGGCTCTTGCCTTCCCTTGCCTGGAGGCACATCACAGCACCTGAATTTACCTGAGCCTCAAAGATCTGTGGAGACTTTAAAACAAAGTGAGGCGTCCTGGTCCACTTGTATCAAAGTGCATTTGACATAAGGGAGAGAAAGCTCCAGGGCTTTCAAGGACATCTCTCTGTCCACCTTGGAGAAGTCCTACAGGCCCTGGGGGAGCTGGAGGCAGCCTGGCTCCAAAGTTGCAGTCCATGGGGTAGCCTAGAGCCCAGCAGCCAGCTTCTTGGCACCTAAGGGGCCATCAGCTCTCGTGCCCAACAGCAGCAAACGCAAAACACCAAATGCAAGAGGTTCCACCTGCCTGCATGCCAGGATGATATAAATCACTCCTCCAAAATAAATGAGAGTGATAACTACAATAATTTCATCACTCCCACCAAGGAGCAGCACCAGGTAAGGACGTGGCCCAGCAGCCAGGCATTGAAACCTCCACATGAGTCATCAGTTTACTATTAGTTTATTTCATTCGTCACGTGTACCATATAAGATTCACAGCCATCAAGATTTCGGTGTCTTTGCCGCTGTCTGTTGGTCCCTCAGCCCAGTTCCGTCTGGTACACGATGTGTGCCATCAAACACCAGATCACTCCAACAGCCTCTCCCCAAAGCGGGTGTTAATGTCATTTCCTACTCATCTCCCTCCTCCAAGACAAACCACCCCACAGCAGGACCTGGTGCCCTGTTTTGCCCCCCCAGATTCTTAAAAGAGCTGATTCAGCACTTTGGAAGTGCTCAGCATTCCAGATGCTGAAGCAGGCTGAAACCTGAGCTCACCCCAACACCCAAGCGCTACAACTCGATATGGGAGAGAAATGGAAACATAAGCACATCCCTCTGGCATGGCCCGGGTGATTTTCCAGCCATTGAGTCACCATGAAACTCCAGGCACTGGGCAGTTCCAGAGAGCTGTGGATGGCTAATAGAGCTGGGCTGGTGACTCAGGTCCCTGAATTTGCATCTGTATCCAAAAGTCAATGAGACAGGACAACCTTGGGCCAAATGCAGTCGTCATTAAGGGCTCCCTTGCATGCTCCATGTGCAGATCCAGTCATACAGACACAAACTCCCAGACCTCACTGTCCATCTGGCTGTGCATCATGAGTATCCCAAGGCAGTAAGGGAGGGGGAAAGAGGGAGTAGCATTTGTGCTTTCCAACACTCTTTGGCTGCTCCTTGCCATGGCCAGTGATGGCGGAGCTGTCCCAAAAACCACTCCAAACCCAACCCAGCAAATGGCACAATTCGCTGCGTACACCCATCTGCAAAGTTTTCACTACCAAGCATCTATCCAGCGGCAAAAGCTGAAGCTGCACTCGGCGACTGGAGCTGGGGACGTGTCTCCCAGCTCCGTTCATCTCCTCCGGGCGGGCAGACTCCCACTCATGACAGAACTCGAGCGGTCCCTGCACGGCGGGATGCCAAAGGCTCGCACCCTTAGGTCAAAGGCTCGCACCCTAATGTCAGGGCGAAGCTCTCCACCTTCACTCCGCTCCCCGCGGGCCTTCCCGAGCCATCCCCACTCCCGCCGGCAGCCTGAGGTCTGCGGGAGGGGGACCCCTCGCCCGCCTCCACCTCACACCCCCCGTGCTGGGGCTGCGCCCCCCACACCCGCCCCGGGGGCAGGCCCGGGACCCGCGGACTCACCGGGGGCGCGGGGCCATGGGAGGGTCTGCGGGGCCGGGGGGCTCCGGGTGCGGGGCTGAGCGCGGTGTTCCGGGGTTGGGCGCTCCCCGCCCCGCCCCGGCTCCCGCCCCGGACCGGCCCCCGGACCGGCGCTCCCCGATGGGAGATGTAGTTCGGCCCCGGGGGGGGGGCTGCTCCGGGGGGATGGAGCCGCTGGGGATGCGCGGGGGACGCGTGAGGATGCGGGTACCCCTGGGGCTGGGATGGGGAAGCTCGGGGTTTGGCGCTGGCAGGGCTGTGGTAGGATGCTTTTGGGTCAGGATGGGGGTTTTCATGAGATACTTCGGGGCCGGGACAGGGTTTTAATGGGATGCCTTGGGGCTAGGACAGGGTTTTAATGGGATGCTTTGGGGCTGGGATGGGCTCTTCATGTGATGCTTTGGGGCTGGAATGGGCTTTGCATGAGTGCTTTTGGGCCGGGTCATGCTTTTCACGGGATGCTCTTTCATGGGATGAGGTTTTCATGGGGCTTTCCCTGCCCCGGAAGGATTGGGGTGCTGCTTGGTGTGGGCACAGCATGGCAGCTGTGCTGCCCCACTGGAATGTGGGTTCTCAGATGGCTCTGTGCTGGAGCATCCCTCCCACTGTGAGGACTGCAGTGCTATGGGTTTATAATCAGCAGCACACTTGGAGGGCCCTGCGTGATGTTGCCCCCTGGCACTGTGCTCTCAGATCATAGTCAGAGAAGGGCATTTCATGCTTTCATTAATTATGTGCTGCTTTCAAGTCCCCCTCCTTATGTAGCCTGTGTCCGTGCTCAGTATCCCAGATGGATGGCAGCTCTTCCTGGATAACTTGCCAAAAGCAAGCACGTCCTCAGCAGCCCAGCACGAAGCTGACAAACATGGGTGTCAGTGACTGCTTCTATTTTTGGCTGTGTTACTATGCTCTGAGAGCTTTCCCTGGTGTGCTTTCTTGATCTCCAGCTTGTGTGTGGTGGCAAGGTACCAGACCCTGAGGGTTCTTAAAGTGCCCACCAAGTCAGCAGTTGCTGAAGTTTCTTCCCCCTTACCAGGAACTTCCCCAACCTGTGGGAAAGGGTCTGAGGGGAACTGGTGCAAGCCAGTTTTAATGAAAGCCCATATTTGTCCTTCACGAGTGCCATGGGACAGAGTAAGCCTCTGAGATAAACTAACACTCCTTGGCATTGCCAGGAGACTATTTCCAGCAGGTCTCCCTCTCTGCAAACACCCTCTCTCTCTTTTGTGGTCATTTCCCTAAAATGTTCTTTCCCAGAGCCATGCCAATTCAGGAAAATACTCCTGTTTCTAAGTGGAGAAGACCTTGAGAGACTTCTCTCTGAGCCTCAGGCATAGGGAAATCTATGGGAAACCCAGTGCTCTCTGTTTATTCTCATTGTTTGGTTTTAGTTTCAGATCTCTGGAATTTAAAGCCAGTCATATGTTTTCTGCAAAGCCTCACACCTAATTTTGGCCTATGGGGGGTTAATGCAGTAGCAGAGTGATGACTGTGCTGGCTGGACAGCCTCCCTTCTGCCCTCGCTGCTTCCCCAGGGCTGAAAAAAGCTGCTTCAGCAACAGAGACATCCTAAAGGTAAACATGTGGGGATTAAAAGGTGCTGCTGGACCTGGAGTGGGTGAAGGACAGGGATAATTACTGCATAGCGAACAGCGTGACCAGGGAACAGGTTCTTGATAAGTAGAGCACACAATGACAACAGAAAATACAAGAGCAGCACAAGAAACACTGAAGTGGTCTGTGAGGATGCTAAGCTACATGCATCCTGGCTCAGGGATGTCAGCAGGATTTCGGGGGTCGTACAGTTCCAAGGATGGCCAGGTGAGACCAGGCATAGCATCAGCTGTCCTGGCAGGTAAATCTGGCAACTGGTTCTCTGCAGGTGGCAACAACATTCTCTACAGCCCAGCACTGCAGTGGTGTCCTGCCCTGGTCAGGTTCACTCACACTGTGAGATGGAGATGTGAGGGCTGCATCGCTGCCTGTATGGGCATCACGGTGGGACCTGTTACCCCTCGGTGTCTGCAGTCTGACCCATCCCAGGCAGGTGGGTTTTGGGGGATACAGCTTGAGCATGCTGTGCAGAAAGGTCTCCAGCCTTGCCTCCTGCAAGGAGCAATGCCAGCCTTGTGCTGCAGAGCTCAAGGTGCTGGTAGCACCTGAGGCAGCTCCAGTTTGGGGGGGTCTAGCAGGGCTGGACTCCACCTTGGGCAGAAGGGGGAGGTGAGAGGAGTGCTTATTCCAGGCTATGTGGTTGTAGGGACCTGTTGTCCAGGTGATGTATTTGCCCTTATTGAGAAAAACTGTGTTGTGCTGTGTAATGCAAAAGCGACAGACAGGGGTGCCCTGTGGTGCTGGGGGCAAGGGGGGATGTCCAGAGACTCCTGACTGTTCCCCCACTCTGTGAAAGACAATGCCACAGGGTGAGGGGACATGTCAGGGGTGCTGATCCTGAGGTTCTTGTCAAGGATCTGTCATGGAGGTGACACCCATCACTTGCAGCTCATTGGCCACTTGTCCCTGCCTGTGCAGCCCTGGTCCCTCGGGACTCTCCTGGAGAGTATCCCTGAGGCAGCACCTACCACTAGAGGGTATTTATGGGATACCAGGGGATAAAACATTAGGGATCAGCAGACATCACTGGGACAGGGACAGTCGCAGTCCAGGGAGGGAGATGGGTGGTCATAGCAAAGCTACAAGCGCAGATACTGAGGGAGCATCCCTTTGCTGCTGGAAGGGGGACACAGGATGCAAAAGGAGGATAAACAGAGCCATTGCCAGCATCTTCAGCCTCCTGACCCCATGGAGACGTGCCCTGTGTGACTCAGGGGGACAGCTGGCACCTCATCAGTACCTTCAGACCTGCCCAGCCAGTACTTCTTGGGCCAGTAAACGGCAGGGTGATGGTGCTGCTGCAGGATTCCTGCATTGCCACCTCTATCAAATGCTTGGTCTGACCTTGGCTCGATGGATTTTGTAACGGGGCGTTGTTAATCCCTACAGACAGCAGGGAGTGGGAAGAGACACCCATACCATGTGGCAGCATCTGTCTTCACGGCCATCGAGACACACTGTGAAGCCGATTATCAGGCAGGATCTAATGCTGGAAATGCAGCTGTACATCTGACACCAGGCCTCCCTTACAGTGGGTGGGCCTGGGGCTCACTGCAGCACCGTGATCCTCCCTCCAGGCTCCCTGCTCACCCAAAACTGGGGGATGAAGGATGGCTGGGCATCACTGGCTCCTCTCCCCCTGCAGCCAGGGTGGGCAAAGGCACCTGGGCACTTTGCCATAGTGGGAGATGGGAGTGAGTGCACTGGGAATGGGGCCAGGACAGGTGGGGAGTTACACAACCAAAGCAATGTCCTACAGCTGGCAAGGCCAGAGAGGGCTGGGTCTTGTGGGGCAGAGGGGTGCCCTGTTTGGTAGTGTGCTCCATTTCTGTCCCTGCACAGCAGTGACATCCGTCTGTGTGCCCTCTGCTCGCTCCCTCATTATAATGCACATGCTAACAAGGCTGTGGGAGATGAGATGGTTTGCAGCGAGCTTTGCCTCAGTGCCTGCGACCTTCTTAGCCCCTGTAGGGAAAGCTGTGTCCCACAGACACACACACACACTGAGACCTCGGCTCAGGAATCCCTCTTCCTCCAGGACTTGGGCTGGGAGGGGTATTTTCGTGCTCAGATCTTTCCCAAGCCCTGCACACGGTCCCCCTGTCGTGGGAGGCCCCTCATCGGAACTGATCTGAGCCTGAGTGCTGTGTTGGAACAGCTCTCAGGGCCACCCTGTCTGCCCCCCCATCATCACCATGTCACACAGCAAGCCCTGGTCTGAGCCCTGCCTCAGTTTCCCTTTCCTCAGCAGATCCTGCTTCCAAACCTGCGCACTCCAAAACCTACTGATGGACAGGGCTGATGTTTGAGACCTCTTCCTGGTGACTGCCAGCCCTGAGAGCCCAAAGCCACTGCAGGATGCAGCTCCAGGGGACAAGAAGTCAGCAAGCAGTGGCTGTGAGCTGTCAAATGCTTCCTAATCAGGAAGCAATTATCCCCTGTGCCGCCTCTCTGCAGCAGTAGTTGGGTAGGGGTAGAAACCCTGAAGTTTTCTCCTCCTGCAGCATTTATGTGTTTTACAAACTTGTTCTCTTTCCAGAGCTGCTGGGGAGCCTGCTCTTGGATGGTCTTTCTGGCAAAGCTCAGCAGGCAGTAGGAGCTGATGTAAGTGCTGATGGGGGCCTTGTGTTCTTTGGAGAAGAGTTACATGTTGCTGCAGCCTGCTGGAACAGGGCTGGGCCTGGGGACTTGCAGCCCACACAGGGAGGGGAACGGGGCTGGTGCCACTGCTCTGCCAGCCCCGGGTGGTGCTTATGTGATTAGTGATGCCATAGAATGGGAGCAGGCGGATTTGGTGGCTTTCTGTCAGCCCCATAGCTATACTCCAGTTCTAGCCTAGGGCAGAGCAATTTCTGCCTGCATCACTCCTGGGCTGCACCCTCCTGGTTTTATCCTGGCTCCCAGCTTCCTCCCCTCCTGCAGGCAACTACCTAACAATGGTAGGAAACAGTTTCAGCTGGTCCTAGTCCAGATAATTTTATTTTGGGAGGTGCAGAAGTGATTGTGGTTTTTCCAGCCCCTTTCTCTTGTATTTGCTTGGAAATCCTGCATCAATCCAGCTGCAGGCAAAGAGCCCCACGCCAGCACAGCCAGTGCCCACAGCACAGCACCAGGAACAGCTGCCCCAGCCTCTGTGGTAGCCAGGGGAATTATGACCTGCTCTGCCTCCCCTTTTTAATTAGAAGCTGGATTTAGGTGATCCTGTGTGGCTTGTTTTCTCTCCCATTCTGAGTAATGGACTCTGCAGTCAGCGTGAGAGATCCTCATCCATCTCAGTGCACAGAGGCAGCTGGATTATGCCAGGGAGGGATTTGCATGTGCTGGGTTTGCTTTTCCTGGAGCTGGGGAGTTGAGCAGAATCCCTGCCCCTGCAGGGATGGGGACAGGCCAAGCCCTGCTCTGGCCTGGCTTGTCACGCAGTGCTGACGCAGAGCCCTGCTCTGCTCCTAGTTCCAGCTCCTCTGCTGCCGCGTTTTTGGAGATGACTGGTGCAGACCCAAGCCTGTCTTGGCAGGGTGGATGCCAACCTGTGCCCCTGAAGGGATGCAGAGCCCTGCTTGGTTTGCTGCTGGTGACGGTGGGGTCAGGCAGCCCGTGGCACCTGAGTGGCTCCAGGCAAACATGAAAATGTGCTGTTAGAGGTGAAGAAAACAAGTGGCCCCTGATTTTCACACCCCACTGGACTCTGTTGAGCCAGATTTAGGCTCTTCATCAGCCCCATTCCCTCCTGGGAATCAGTGGGAGGCTGTGAGGGAAGGGTGAAGCACCCCAGGACACAGGTCTGGGGAACACTTCTCTGCAGAGAGGTGGAGTCCAAGCCTCTCAGCTGTGGGGGGACTAATCCTATTCCAGTGAACCACTGGACCCCATGGCTGTCCCCTGTCCCTGGTGGTCCATCTGTTTTCCAGCTGCTGGTGCTTTAAAATCAGTGCTTGGCTCCTGTGCCAACAGCTTTGAGGGGCAGAAGGGCTGGAGAAAAGGTTATTTCACCCAGTGATGTCATACAGATGCCGAGTTTCTTTCTGCTTCTTGCAGACCAGATATAGAGGCTGGGTCCAGCCTTGTGTGCCTTCCCACTGCTTTGGGGACAAGTGTGGGTGGGGAGCTGGCCAGTTCCTAAATATTTACTTCTGCCATACAGCACAGCTCCACACCAGTTGCTGTTTCTGGGCACAAGCAGGCTGGTATTAGCCATGGAATGAAGGCTGCACCCCTGATTTCAGTATCTGTGACTGCTGGAGGCTCAGAGGAGATGGCACAGCTCACATCCTCTTGCCTCAGTTCTCTCCAATGAAAAAAGGCTGGCAGGCTCATTTTCATATGTATGCTTTTTAATATCATTAATTCCGTTACACTACACACAACCAGTAACAATGATAAATACTGCAATGGAAATGTTAAAAAATATATTATAC